GGCTCAAGTGGTAGAGCGCTAGCCTTGAGCTGAAGAGCTGAGGGACAGCACCCAGGCCCAGAGTTCAGGCCCCACGACTGGACCCCCCAAAAAAAGAGGTACCCAACTTACAGAGGTACCCAACTTGCATGTGCATGCACATTGTGCCTAGGCACTGGAGCTTGAAGTCAGGGCCTCGAGCTTTCTGGGCTGGCACTCTACCACTTTAGTCTTGCCTACAGCCTGGCTTATTTTCTGGTTACTTTGGAGATGGGGTATAACAAGCCTAAGTGGCTTGTCTGGCTTCAAAATATGATACTTATATAAAATATTTCAGTGTCCTGAATAGCTAGGATTACAAGTACAAGTCACCAACATCCAGTATAAGGAATATAATTTTGATTAATTCAGGCCTTGGGTACTTACCTCATCAGATGTCAGTGAGATTAATGCTACAACATGAATAGTGGGGCTCAGTCTGAGGCTCATGCAGAAAACTCATTCATGGGGATACAGAGTTGTTGATTACCCCAACGATTAATTCAGTTTGAGTGTGTTTACCTGGAACAAAGTATGCAGCTGTCTCTCCTTGTCTGCACGGGATCCCCTCAGTATGCATTCGAGATCCCTTATTGCATTCCTGCATAGTGGAGAGTCCTGAACCCTATATATTCTATCTTGTTCCTGTAGTCCATAACCATGAAGAAGTTTAATTTTAAGATACTAAGGGTAGCCAGGTACACTAGGTAGATCACAGAGGCTGAGATCTGAGGATCCTGGTTCAAAGCCAGCATGAGCAGAAAACTCAGTGAGACTCTTAATTCCAATTATCCACTGAAAAGGGAGAAGTAGAAATGTGGCTCAAGTAGTACAGCACTAGCCTTGAACAAAAAGTCAGTGAGGGCATGAGGCCTTGGGTTCTAGCTCTAATACCACACACACACACAAACACACACACACACACAGATACCAGGTGTGGTAGCTCACACCTGTAATTTCAGCATGAAGGAGGCAGAGGCAGTTCAAAGCCAGCCTGGTCTCCATAGTGAGACTTTATCTCACAGAGGATACTCTTAGGAGAGGAACACAAAGGCCCAATACTATCTGCCTCTGATCATACAAAATAATATTTATCGAAATGACCTCCAGGAAATGGAAACAAGAGGTTTTTCTTTGTTGCTGTTTTTTTCTTTTCTTTTTTGTCTTTGGAGGTGGGGGGCACAGAAATGGAGGGGAAAAGTATGAATAAATGTAGCAGTGGTACTCACTAAACACTACTTTTGGGTGGGGAAGGGAGGGAAAATCTGGGTAAGAGTGTCCAAAAAGAAATGTATCCCTTGGGATGGGAATGTGGCTTAATGGTGCTTGCCTAGGATGCATGAAGCCCTGGGTTTGATTCCTCAGTACCACACAAACAGAAAAAGCCAGAAGTGGTGCTGTGGCTCCAGTGGTAGAGTGCTAGCCTTGAGCAAAAGAAGCTCGGGGACAGTGCCAAAGCCCTAAGTTCAAGCCCCAGAACTGGCCAGAAAAAAATAACAATAAACAAGAAATGTACCCTTTACCTGACATAGAACCCTAACAATTCAAAATTTTTAATTAATTAAAGTTTAGCCAGGTGCCAATGGCTTATGCTTTTAATCCTAGCTACTCAGGAATCTGCAATCTGAGGACTGCTGTTCAAAACCAGACCAAGTAGGAAAAAGGTGAGGGCTAGAGCCCAGGCCCTGAGTTCAAGCTCCACTTCTGGCACAATAAATAAATAAATAGTTTAATTTTTAAAGTAAATATTGTAAGAAATTACAATAATGAACTCTAGTGCTATGTAGAGAATTTTAATATGAAGTTGCTGCAGATGAAGTGGCCTGGGCACACTGCTTTGGAAAGGTGACATTTGATGGATTTGGCAAGGTGGGGGTGGGAGGGGAGGAATCCAGGATAATCCTAGATTTAGGCTTTAGCTCAGTGCACTAGTGTCCCCAGGATCTGTGCTCATCTGCAAGCTGTCACCTTGAGATAAGGATAGACATGGAGAGTAACCATTAAGGCATTTTCAAAGCAAGTTGACAGGAAAGTCTTATACCTATGAATTAAATAACTCAGCATTCCTTTTAACTTTTATTTTGCTAATCATTCCTTTTTATGGTGTTTTCCAAAAGTACAGATTAGAATTTTGTTGTTGTTGTTGTTGTTCATGGGGCTTGAACTCTGAGCCTGGGCGCTGTCCCTCAGATCTTTAGCTCAAGGGGAGCACTCTACCACTTGAGCCACAGCACTACTTCTAGTTTTCTGGTGGTTTTTTGGAGCTAAGAGTCTCACAGACTTTCCTGCCTGGGCTGGCTTTGAAAGCAATCCTCAGATCTCAGCCTCCTGAGTAGCTAGGATTACAGGCGTGAGCCACTGGTGCCTAGCTTCAGATTACAAAATTTTAAGAACATGGGTTTCACCCTAGACACTAAGAGGACTTCTGGTTTCCCCTCAACCAATTAAATAAATGATGCTACTGCTTCCTAGGATGAGGACCTCTCGGGACAGATGTCAAGTGTGCGTTCTTAGGGCCATGCTAAGTTTTCAGGGTCCACCAAGTACTATCATGTAAAGGAGATCATTGGGTATGACTCTAGCATTTGGGGACAGACAAGCTTGGAGAGATGGATTGGGAAGTTCTCAGCACAAGAAAGATGTCTGAAGCTGTGAGAATTGATGGAATTCCCAAGAACAGAGCAGTACAAGACAGTAGAGGAGACTGATGTTACTAGAAAGAGAGAGGAAAGCTGACGGAGTAGCTCAGGTGGTAGAGCACCTGCCTAGCAAGCTCAAGGTCCTGAGTTCAACCCCCACCCCCAGTATAAGAGGGAAAGAAAGAACTGGTACAATGAGATTTTATTTTACTTTTTGTGTCCATACTGGGGCTTGAACTCGGGGCCTAGGTCTTCTCCCTCAGCCTTTTCTCTCTGGGCTAGGTCTCTACCACTTGAGCCACAGTTCTACTTTAGCTTTCTTGGTGGTTAATTGGAGGTAAGAATCTCACAAACTTTTCTTCCTAGGCTGGCTTCAAACTTGGATTCTCAAATCTCAGCCTCCTGAGTAGCTAGGATTATAGGTGTGAGCCACTGGGGTCTGGCTGGGAGAGACAATGAAAGAGGTTTTCCTCAAGTATACATATTGAAGTGACCAGTAGAGATGTGAAGTTGGAGATATAGTCATGCATCTGAGTGCAGTGCAAAACAGCTGGACCACAGTAACCCTCTAGGCAGGCAGTTCTGCATATGTAAATGAACACTATAGTAATTATAGAAATAATATGTCATCTTTATTCCCTTCCCTACAGAATTCTATTAGGACTCCATGCTCAGGGTGAGGAAGCAGAGAGTCACTAAGGCAGTTTGGGATTAGAGTAGAAATGCTCAGACTTTTTCTAGTGTTTCAGGGCAAGCAAGTAGAAATGGAATGTGCCTGGTTTATTTGAGATGTCATGGTATAAATCCAACATAAGAATCTTTAAAATAAATTGCCCCCTCAATTCCATTAATGGCCATGTTTTTCCTCACCATAGAAATAAAAATTTAAAACATACTTGTCATGTTGGTAGGAGTACAAAATTTCAAGCTTTGAACAGAGGCTGATGAATGAAATTGAGTTTCGCCTGGAACGTACACCTGTTGATGAGTCAGATGATGAAATCCAGCACGATGAGATCCCCACGGGCAAGTGTATTGCTCCCATCTTTGATAAAAGACTCAAGCACTTCCGGGTTACAGAAAGCTCTCCAGTCACCTTCACCTGCAAAATTGTTGGGATTCCAGTTCCAAAGGTAAGGGACGATGGCCAGGCAAACAACAGCACAGAACTTCAAGGAAGTCTCATCTGGGTTGGAGATGTAACTCAGTCTCAGTGGTAGAGCATTTGCTTTGCCTGTACTAAGGCCCTGGATACAGTTACCATTCATGGGAAACAAAAACAACAACAAAAAACTTCTATCATGCTCTAATGAAGTATCTACAGAGAGAAGGCAAACCAACACCAGAAAACTAGAGAGAGAAAACAACAGCACTGAGATAATTTGACTAAAAAAGAGAACAAGTGTCAAGAATAGGCAAGAATAGAATCATTAAAGTAGTCAAGGTAAAAATAAATAAATAAAAATCAGACTTAGGTTAGAAATTTGATGTTTTGAGTTCTAGGGTGTTTAGCCCAGGGCCTTGCGCATGCTAAGCAGTCAACCCTTCCATTTGAATTTTAATAAAAGTTTATAATAGATTTCATAGTCACGATACTTTATTTGGGGCTATTGATTGTCTTAGCCATCAAGCTCAGCAAATGGATACTTTTCATCTCATTTAGTCTCTACTAACAATCCCCAGGGTGCCCCTTATTGCCCAGAGTGAGCTATATTTGTAGCATGACTCTTAGATTGGTAAATGCTGAAAATGTCACATCATTATCGCTGGCTGCTGAAAAATCTTATGAGTCACCAGATTTTCTAGCAGTCAGCTGAGAGATTTGCAGCTGGCGTGCTGTGCAAGAGGATCTCTCCAGCTTCCTTTTGCAAACACATGAACAAGGTGTTATCCTATATGGTTACCCAACCGGGAAAGTAGAGGAGGGAGGCTATAACCAATACTTTATCCTCTGCTTTAAGTGATTTCCTTGATACATGCAAAACTCACCATAAAAATACAGGTAGGTAGATTCTAGCTAGATGGTAGATACGTTTAGCAAATGAATCCCACCTAGCCCTGTTCTAACATTCTCTCTGTAGCAAAGCAAGCTACCCGAGGAAATAAAAATTAGACTTCAGCATATAACTAGTATGATGGGAAATGATCCAGCCGCCTGGTTTTCATTAAATTGTCTCTGAAAACACATCTGGTCATTAGGTAGCATTTAAACTAATAGTGAAACACACACACACAAAATGCTGCCAAGTGCTAGGGGCTCATGCCTGTAATCTTAGCTACTTGGGAGGCTGAGATCTGAGTATCACAGTTTGAAGATAGCCCAGGCAGGAAAGTCCACGAGACTCTTATCTCCAATTAACCACTCAGAAAACCGGAAGTAGTGCTGTGGCTCAAAGTGGTAGAGGGCTAGCCCTCAGTGCAAAAGCTCAGGGATAGTGCCCACACCCAGAGTTCAAGCCTCATGACCAACTTTAAAAAAATGCTATAATTAAAAGTTTTATCTTAATCCTAAATTATATTGAATTTTTTTGTGCATCAGTTCTGGACCTTGAATTCAACGCGTTGGTACTGTCTTTGAGCTATATTGTTCAAGACTAGCACTGTACCACTTGATCCAAAGCTCCACTTTCAGCTTTTTTTTTTTTTTTTGGTCGGTCGTGGGGCTTGAACTCTGGGCCTGGGCGCTGTCCCTCAGCTCTTCAGCTCAAGGCGAGCACTCTACCACTTGAGCTACAGCGCCACTTCCGGTTTTCTGGTGGTTTATTGGAGATAGGAGTCTCACGGTCTCTCCTGCCCGGGCTGGCTTTGAACCGCGATCCTCAGATCTCAGCCTCCTGAGCAGCTAGGATTACAGGCGTGAGCCACCAGTGCCCGGCTTCCACTTTCAGCTTTTTTTGGTAGTTAATTGGAGATCCGACTCTCACAGACTTTCTTACCTGGACTGGCTTTGAACCAGGATCCTCAGATCTCAGCCTCCTGGCTAGCTAGGGTTACAGGTATGAGCTACTGGTGCCTAGCTATATTGAATTTTTATTTTTGTGCTGGAACTTGAACAGGAAGAGTAGGCATTGTCCCTTAGCTTTTGTACTCAAGGCTGGTATGTTACCACTTGAGCTACCACTCCATTTCTGGCTTGCTGGTGGTTAATTGGAGATAGAGTCTCATGGACTGTACTGCCTAGCCTGGCTTTGAACTGTGATCCTCAGATCTCAGCCTCCTGTGTTGCTAAGATTCTGTGTGAGCCACTGGCACCAGGCTGATTTTTTTACTTAAAAGTGTTACCTAATAATAGATAGAGGAACACATTATACCTTCATTTTGAGTATATATTTTATGACTTTGTTCCAAGTGCTTTGAAAAGGATGAGTGTTTTACAGAAATGCTAATTAGCCCCTACCTCAACCTATCCCCTACTTCTTTACGCTCCAAGGATGTATGGAACAAGACTTCTCTATTATCCATTCCTGGATTCTCTTTCTTTTCAGGTTTACTGGTTCAAAGATGGGAAGCAGATTTCTAAGAGAAATGAACACTGCAAAATGCAACGAGAAGGAGATGGGACGTGTTCTCTGCACATCGAATCCACCACCAGCGATGATGACGGCAACTACACCATCATGGCAGCCAACCCCCAGGTGGAGACACAGGGTCCCCTGCCCTGGAGCAGTCTGAGGAAGAAGCAGTTGATAGGATTATCAATGAGACTTTGAGGGTTGCTGAGAAAATGAATGAGTATTGTGATTGTGTATAACTCCGACACAGATCACAGTTTAAGACTAGTTTGCCACTAGAGGTCACTCAGCCCTTCAGCCTTTACAAAGGCTGTATGTGTTTCTCCTGGACCTGTTGGGCTAATAAGTCTTGTGTTTATCAATTCCTTGACTTTCCTGAAGAGCGATTGTTCTACCAAAAAGTGATTTGTTGGTTTTGTTCCTTAAATATTAGCTAAATTGCTAATGGTCCTGGAACTCATCATATCCTTTCTTCTTCCTTTTCTTTTTTCCTTTTATTTTCAGAGCTGAGGACTGAACTCAGGGCCTTGCATTTGCCAGGCAAGCACTCTTCTGCTGAGCTAAATCCTCAACTCTTGGTTGTGATTTCTTGATAAATACTGGGAAGCTATCATCTTCATTTTGAATAAGGCCAAGTCTTAAGATTCCCATAAAAGATAAGGCAGAGTGCACATCTTCAACTACCATTCAAATAGAAAGTATAGAACTAGCTGAGCATGGTGGTGTATGCCTATAGCCTCAGCATTCAGGAGGCTGAGGAAGGAGGAAATTGAGTTCCACACTGGGCTATATAGCAAGACCCTGTCTTAAAGAAGTGAAAGAAGTGTAGAACTGTAATTTCTACTGTCATCCACCCTTCTTGTTGAAGTGTCAGTTTGATGAAAGGGAGGTATGAAAGTATTTGGTCCTGCTGTCTGCAGACAATGTTACATTCTCAAGAATTTATAATAATTGCCAGGTGCTTGGGCCTATAATCCTAGCTACTCAGGAGACTGAGAATTGAGGATCACAGTTTGAAGCCAGCCTATGCTGATTATGAAAGTCTGAAACATGGACTGTGAAGGTGGCTCAGTGGTAGAGTGCTTGCCTTGCATGCATGAGGCCCTGGGTTCGATTCCTCAGCACCACATAAGTAAAAAGAAAAAAAAAGCCGAAGTGACACTGTGGCTCAAGTGGTAGAGCGCTAGCCTTGAGCTGAAGAGCTGAGGAACAGCGCCCAGGCCCAGAGTTCAGGCCCCACGACCCCCCACCCCAAAAAAAGAAAGTCTGAAACTTATTGCCACTAACCTACCAAAAAAAAAAAAAAGCCAGAAGTAGAGTTGTGGCTCCAGTGGTAGAACATTAGTCTTGAACAACAAAGTTTGGGGACAGTGCCCAGGCCCTGAATTCAAGCCCCAGCACTGACACCAAAAATTGTTTTTATAGTAATTATTTTTACATATGCTCTCTGTTATTTTCTTGGTTTAAAAAATGAAAGTTACATGATTTCCATTCCCCAAAGAAAAAGTTGTAACAGAAAAACAAACAAACAAACAAAATGTTATTATTGCTATGACATGGAAAAAATATCAATTTTTAAAAATGTGGATTTCTTCTCAGAATCTTGTGTGTTTTCTGTTTCTCAGGGAAGAATCAGCTGCTCTGGCCACCTGATGGTGCAGAGTTTGCCCATTCGCAGCCGACTAACACCTGCTGGTCAGCCTCACAGGTAAAAAACAGAGGGCTTGCCCTTCCCTGCACCCTTCTATGTGCCATTTTAGTAAAAATGAATGAAGTTCTTGGGTCTGCAAATTATTCCTTCACAGTATAGCAGCCCCCACATTGGTGCCGGCATCCAGCGAGAGCTTGTCAGAAAGGCAAATTCCCAACCTATGCTTAAGCTCCTCAACCACAATGTGTGTTTTCACAAAATCCCCCCAGGAGCTTCACCAGTACATCCAAGTAGGAGAAGTACTGGTCTTTGGCACAATCTCAGTGGTTCCCAGTTGTAAGCATCAGTAGCACTGGTACCTATAATATAGAAATCAGTTACCTTTGAATTAAATTACCAATTTTTCTATAACAAAACAGAAACCTGTCATGATTACACGTCTTTGGACTGAATATTTTCGTTGTCACCACTTTAGCAACTGCTTTGCTTCCTCTCTGATTTCTCTATCCACTGAGAAGAAAAGAGCCTGACTTTCCCCTTAAGTCTGGTGGTGCCACAGAGTCTTAGCAAAGTATTCCATAGTTGCTGACAAGGAGGAATTAAATGTGACCTACCAAAGGAACAAAAAGTGATCCATGTTTCAGATACCGTGTTTAACTACGATTGCAACAATACCTCCTCCCCCTTTCTCCTCCTCCTCTTTCTCTGTCTCCTCATCCCCTTCCTCTTTGTTTGTTTGTTTTTTTAAGCAGCTGTTGCTGTTCGTTTTATCCAATTTAAGCTCATGGTGATCTCTAATAGTCTGCCATAATTTATTACCCAAAGACACAGAGATTGCAGCTGCCTTGTTCTGAAGAATAAACAGGGCTTCTCTTTGGGCTGTCAATGGAGGCTCAGTTGAATGCTGATTTATTTGTTTGTTTACATGACTTTTGAACAACTGGTCAAGCCCACAGAGCAAGGATGTCTGAGCCACTTAAACCAAATGACTTCAGAGAGCAAGAAGCTAAGGCCTATTTGATTACAGATCTCACAAGATAATCCTACAGTATATGAGATACTTAACATTTGTTATTTTACATGCGCCCCATGCCAGTTATTATTATTAAAGTTTTTGTTCTCACAAGGACTTTCTCCCTCCAAAAATAACTGAAAGTTGTTCTCCCTACAGCCATGCTAATTACCTATAATTCTAAATTTGAAAATTGGTTTTTCTATTTGATGCTTAAACATATTTACTACAGGGGAAGATCTCGCATACAAGAAAGAGACAAAGAACCCCTACAAGAACGTTTCTTCCGACCACATTTCCTGCAGGCTCCGGGGGACATGGTAGCTCATGAAGGGTGCCTGTGTCGGCTGGACTGTAAGGTAGACTCACAGCCCTGGGCCTTACAGCCAGAGTTGTTAAGTTTGAGTTTGTTTGGTTGTTGGCATTTATTTTTGTTTGAATCTATCTTATGGGTCGTGGTGGTGGTGGTTGTTGTTATTGTTGTGTTTTTCCCCTTAGAGGACAAGGTCCTAGAGGAGGAAGAGAAATCCTTTTTCCTCCCAATAGACTTTGGAATATTTAATACTGGATGAAATTATTTCATAATTTTTTTAAACCATTCTATCTTACAAAAATTTACATTGGGCTGGGTGATGGCGGCTCATACCTATAATCCTAGCTACTCAGGAGGCTGAGATCTGAGGATCATGGTTCAAAGCCAGCCCAAAGCCAGGCAGGAAAGTCCATGAGACTCTTATCTCCAGTTAACCACCAGAAGTGGCAATGTGGCTCAAGTGGTAGAGAGTTCATCTTGAGCTGAAGAGCTCAGAGACAGTGCCTAGGCCCAGAGTTCAAGCCCCAGGACCAAAAATAAATAAATAAATAAATAATACATTAGTATTGCATCAAGTTAGCCCTGCATTTTTTTTTTAGCCCTGCATTTTTAGAAGACAAACTAAAGAAGTGATATGATTCAGATATTTGCCATAGGGTACCTAGAAAACCTTTAAAACTACAAGGTCACAAGTGTGACCTTTAAGTGATTATTGTGAGCTGTAGTCTTTTTGGGGACAAAAAGGCCTGAAAAGATGGCTCTGAGGTAGCTGTTGTGACTAAAATATGTTCCTTGTGTAACCCACATCCATCCCTTTAGCAATTCTGCATTTTAATTTCCCAGCAATAGTTAGGCCTCAATTTGAGCGGTATATTTATGTACTATAGTGTCTTCTCCATATGATCAGAAACTGAATTGAGCTGTCCCTCCCAAAGATGCTGAACAGTATAGAAAACTTAGATGTGAATGAGTAAGGCTTGAGGGTAAGCATTAAGAGAGTCCACTTCTGTAGGTAGCTCTTGTTCTCTTATTGGCTGCCTAAACAGTCAGGTTGACTGCATCTCCTCCTCTATAGGCTTACGCCCACCAATGCCTACGTTCCATTCCCAGAGATTCTGACTTCATTTTATAATCCCTAGGGGATTATACTTCTTGCTTGCCATATATCATCTCTTATATTGATGCTACAGGCCTATTTTAGCTATTTAATAGTTGCCTTCTTTTTAACTTTAGAATACAACCACATGGTTTCATCATGACCTGAAAAGGGGTCAAAACACCAAAGAGTTTAAATTCAAGCAGCCAATTCATTCAACCCCTCTCCCTTCCCACAGAGGGAAGGGTTCCCACAGACAGCTTCTCACTACGCTAGGTCTTCTCACACTATATATTTGGTGCCAAATAGGGATGAAGAATTCAGCCACCAAATAAATCTGCTTGTCATCACGCTGTTGTTTGCATCAGCTGTCCTGTTGTTTATTAGGTGAGTGGCCTACCACCCCCGGAGCTCACGTGGCTGCTCAATGGTCAACCTGTGCTACCAGATGCCTCCCATAAGATGCTGGTCAGGGAGACAGGAGTCCATTCTCTGCTCATTGACCCACTCACCCAACGTGATGCAGGGACCTATACCTGCCTGGCTACCAACAAAACTGGGCAGAATTCCTTTAGTCTGGAGCTCTCTGTCGTAGGTAAGTTTTACTGCTGGAACCCCTCACCCCCACTCCAAGTATAATTACTTTAAAAGTTTTTGCACAAATATAGTACACATGATCTGTGACACAATGCCTCAGTCCTTTGTCAGAATAGGCAAGATTCCTGTAAGGACATGTTGATTGAGGGCTTTTTTTTTTTTGTCTGTTGGGGGGCTTGAACTCTGGGCCTGGGCATGTCCCTGAGCCCTTCAGCTCAAGGCTAGCGCACTACCACTTGAGCCACTTCCGGTTTTCTGGTGGTTAATTGGAGATAAGAATCTCCCAGAAGTTCTTGCCCAGTCTGGCTTTGGACTGCAATCCTCAGATCTCAGCCTCCTGAGTAGCTAGGATTACAGGCGTGAGCCACTGGCACCCTGCTAGGCTTTTACCTTTTTTCAGGCAATGTTGCAAAAACATTGAGTTTGACTGTGGAGCCACTATGGAGGAGCATTTGGCCAAAAGAAAAGCTTCCTGAGGAAGCTTGATTTTGTGGGAATTTTTTAAGTAGTATGATTCTGTCGATTTGAAGTTTATTTTCAAAATAAAAAAAATTGTTTGGGGACATACATGTTATCTTCTGTGAAATAAACCTTCCCAGAAACAAAAAGGAAAGATTGATTTTAGTACAGTGAGTATACTGTCTCTCATAAGTCAGACCAGCAATTAAAAAAAAAAAACTCCTTTAATTTTCCATTCCTAGCAGTTACATCCCATGTGTGTACCCCACAGCCCCTACAGCCGTCTCATTGGGAATGTGCATAAGTAGCTGACCCATTTCTTTTGTTAACCTTTTATGGAACTTTCTTAAGGCACTGATCCTCATTAAGAGGTAGAAAGCAGTAGAGTAGATGCCAGCCTACTCCATTAATTCCAGAACACAGCTAGGTTGAGGCATGAACCCACGGCACCTGCTTTTCTTTTTCATTCTTCTTCCTTTCTTCCTTCCTTTCTTCCTTTCTTTCTTTCTTTCTTTCTTTCTTTCTTTCTTTCTTTCTTTCTCTTTCTCTCTCTCCCTTCCTCCCTCCCTCCCTTCCTTCTTTCCTCCCTCTCTCCCTTCCTTC